GTATTATTGCTAGTATGGAATCCCTTTGACTTGTATTGATATATATTAAAGTTGAAAGGGTTGGCGAATGTTGTATTACGCTCAAGAGCAGGAAGTTAAGGTTTGTGAGGCTAACTCTCTATGTTTGGGAGTGTTAATAATTCTCCCTACACTACGTTTCTTTTACGACGTTACTAATTGCCTCACAAATATAGTTAAGCCTAGTTCCTTGAATAGTTGCAGAACTTCTATTCTCTAGCTTCATAATTCGTTCATGACTTTCATTCTGAACGTTGTGAGCTCAGTGCATAATCAATATAGACTTGTGATTGATTCTCATGAGTCTCAATCTAGATTACTCAACATGTTATAAATAGTTGAAGCTTTAGTTCTCATAATCAGTTCATGAATACTTGTCTTAGTCTAGTCCTATTCATAATTCCAGTATCATGTAACTCAATATGATTCAATATTTCAGCATCATGTATTGCAGTATGATTCTCAGTTCCTTATTTTAAATTCTTGAATGTTGAACACCTGTAATTGGGCCTAAGGCCGTAGTTTATATGCTTTATGCATATTTGTGCCTGAGGCCGTAGTTTATATGCTTTATGCATACTTGGGCGTGAGGCCGTAGTTTATGTTTTATGCATGTTTGGGCCTGAGGCCCTAGTTTATGCTTTATGCATTTTTGGGCCCGAGGCCGTAGTTATGTATACGTATACTTGGGAATGAGGTCATAGCTTGTGCACATATATATATTGGGCCAGAGGCTGTAGTTTGTTCAGATAAACAAGTTGTTCATCATTCAGAAGATGGAGTATTCATATCCTTATTTCCTTTGTTCTGTTCAGTTATTAGTTATCATTTTAGTTATCAGTTGTAATTTCAGTTTCAGTTTCAATAGTTATCATTTCAGTTATCAATCATCAATTCTCAATTATCAGCTTAGTTTCACTATTTATTATTCTTTCTTTCAGTTGCTTTGCATACCAGTGTAATTCAAATGTACTGACGTCCCTTTTTCCCGGGGCCTGCATCTCACGATACAGGTAATGATTTATAGGTTGACGATTCAGAGCGCTAGGATGCTCGTACCAGCTATTTGGTGAGCCTCAATTCTTTCGGGGAAATATCATTACTTAATAGTCTTTCACTAATTACAGATAGTCAGTGTTTTTAGTACTTCATTAGAGGCTTCATAGACTAGAGTAACAGTTAGATAGAGTCACATACTTTTCATGTTAAGCTATGTTAGCTACAAATATGTTTTAGAATTGTATTCCGCACTTGATTTATATCATTCAGACTTTCATTATATCGGCATGTGTAGTTTATCTTCCGCATTCAGTATGCTATGATGTCACATATTGATTTAGCCAGCCACTTGGTTCACTCGATTGCATGTAGTCAGGCACCGGGTGCCGTGTTACGTCCAGGCCCAGGTTCGGGACATGACACATTTGTACCAAGACAAATATTAGATGCATATTGGTTCTAAAGGACATGCGACATGTACCTGATTTGCGAATGAACTTGATCTCGGGAATTGATTTAGACCGAGATGGATACAAGAACTATTTTTCAAATCAAAAGTGGAGACTTACCAAGGGATCATTGGTGATTGCAAAGGGAGTTGATTGTAGCATGTTCTACAAGACAAATGCAGAAATATGCCAAGGTGAATTGAACGCGGTGCAATATGAGATTTCTGCATATTTGTAGCACAAAAGAATGGGTCATATGAGCGAGAAGGGATTGCAGATTCTTGCCAGGAAATCACTCATTTCTTATGCCAAAGGTACAATGGTAAAACCTTGTGACTACTGTTTATTTGGTAAGCAACATAGAGTCTAATTTCAGACATCGTCTGAAAGAAAATTGAATATATTTGATTTGGTATATTCTGATGTTTGTGGTCCAATGAAAATTGAATCGATGGGTGGCAAAAAATATTTTGTTACTTTTATTGATGATGCTTCACGAAAATTGTGGGTTTATATTTTGAAAACCAAAGATCAGGTGTTTCAAGTTTTCCAGAAGTTTCATGCTTTGGTGGAAAGGGAGACAAGCCAAAAGCCAAAGCGTCTTCGAAGTAATATTGGAGGTGAGTACACTTCAAGGGAATTTGAAGAGTATTATTCGATCCATGGGATCAGACATGAAAAGACAGCTCCTGGAACCTCACAACACAATAGTGTAGCTGAGAAAATGAACCGCACCATTGTCGAGAAGGTGAGAAGCATGCTCAGAATGGCTAAACTGCCTAAGTCATTATGGGGTGAAGCAGTTCAGACAACCTGTTACCTGATCAATAGGAGTCCATCAGTTCCATTGGAGTTTGACATCCCAGAGAGAATTTGGACCAACAAGGAGGTATCCTACTCACATATGAAAGTGTTCAGTTACAGAGCTTTTGCACATATACCAAAGGAGCAGAGAACAAAGCTGGATGATAAATTCGTTCCCTGTATATTCATTGGATATGGATATGAAGAGTTCTGGTACAAATTATGTGATCATATAAAGAAGAAGTTCATTAGAATCAGAGATTTAATCTTATTTGAAAGTGAAGTTGGGGCAGTAGATGATCAATCAAAGAAGGCCAAGAACGGTATGATCACTAACCTTGTTACTATTCCTTCTACTTCTAACAATCCCACAAGTGTAGAAAGTAGGACCGACAAGGTTGCCGAGCAGGGGGAGCAACCTGGTGAGGTTATTGAGCAGGGAGAGCAACCTGGTAAGTTTATTGATCAGGGGGATAAACTTGATGACGATGTCGAGCAAGTGGAGTACCCCACTCAGGAAGATGAACAACCTCAATCTCTGAGGAGATCAGAAAGGCCAATGGTAGAGTCATGCAGGTACCCTTCCACAGAGTATGTCCTCATCAGTGATGAGGGGGAGCCAAAAAGTCTTAAGGAGGTGTTGTCTCATCCAGAAAAGAACTAGTGGATGAAAGCCATACAAGAAGAGATGAAATCTCTGCAGAAAAATGGCACGTATAAAGCTGGTTGAACTTCCAAAGGGTAAAAGACCACTCAAATGCAAGTGGGTCTTTAAACACAAGAAAGATGGAAATGGCAAGCTGGTCAGATACAAAGCTCGATTGGTGGTAAAAGGCTTCGAACAGAAGAAATGTATTGATTTTGACTAAATGTTTTCACACGTTGTCAAAATGACTTCTATTCGAACAATCTTGAGCTTAGCAGCTAGCCTAGATCTTGAAGTGGAGTAGTTGAACGTTAAAACTGCATTTCTTCACGGAGATTTGGAAGAGGGGATCTATATGGAGAAGCCAGAAGGATTTGAAGTAGCTGAAAGGAAACACATGGTGTGTAAACTAAATAAGAGTCTTTACGGGTTGAAGTATGCACCAAGGCAGTGGTACAAAAAGTTTGACTCGTTCATGAAAAGTCAAACTTACATAAAGACATATTTTGATCCATATGTATACTTCAAAAGATTTTTTGACAATAACTTTATTATTTTGTTGTTGTATGTGGATGACAAGTTAATTGTAGAAAAGACAAGGAGCCGATCTCAAAGTTGAAGGGAGATTTTTTCAAGTCATTTGATATGAAGGACTTGGGCCCAACACAACAAATTCTGGGAATAGAGATTGTTCGAGAGCGAACAAGCAGAAAGTTGCGGCTGTCTCAGGTGAATTTCATTGAACGTGTACTGGAATGCTTCAATATGAAGAATGCTAAGCTAGTCAGCACACCTCTTGCTAGTCATCTGAAGTTGAGCTAGAAGATGTGTCCTACAACAATGGAGGAAAAGGAGAGCATGACCAAAGTACCTTATTCCTCTGCCGTCAGAAGTTTGATATATGCAATGGTATGCACTAGACCTGATATTGCTCACGCAGTTGGTATTGTCAGCAGATTTCTCGAAAATACTGGAAAAGAACACTGGGAAGTAGCCAAGTGGATACTCAGGTACCTGAGAGGTACCATAAGAGATTGTTTGTGTTTTGGAGGATTTGATCTAGTCTTGAAGGGCTATACAGATGCGGATATGGCAGGTGACATTGATAACAGAAAATCCACTATTGGATATTTGTTTACATTTTTAGAGGGAGCTATATCATGGCAGTCGAGGTTGCAGAAGTGTGTCACACTCTCTACAACTGAAGCAGAGTACATTGCCGCTACTGAAGCAGGCAAGGAGATGATATGGCTGAAACGGTTCCTTCAAGAGCTTGGTTTACATCAGAAGGAGTATGTTGTCTATTGTGACAGTCAAAGTGCAATAGACTTGAGCAAGAACTCCATGTAATGCAAGGACCAAACACACCGATGTGAGATATCACTGGATCTGAGAAATGGTAGAGAGTGAATCTCTGCAAGTCCTGAGAATTTTCACAAGTAAGAATCCTGCAGATATGCTGACCAAGGTGGTACCAAGAGACAAGTTCGAGTTGTGCAAAGAACTTGTCGGCATGCACTCAAACTAGAAGTCCGGTGTTACCTCTTTCAGATGAATGGGTCGGGAGGGGGAGATTGTGGGGTCCATCTCCATCAAGAAAACAAAAAGGAGGAAACAGATGCGAAAACCAATTTTGGCCAAAAATGATTTTGGTTCTCGATTTGCAATTTGCAAATTGCAAGTTGCAGGAAACCAACTTCTAATTGGTTAAGAGCTACGTCACTTCTTCCTATAAATAGAAGCCTTCAGCTTCTCATTTGAACACACCAATCTCATAGAGAAATATATCTGAGAGCATATAGAGCAACGTGAGGTATTCATAGGCGGTGCAATATGTGAGGAAAAATAAAGAGTAATTGTAGTGAGGTCGAAATCTCAGAAGAGGATTATTATTTTGAGTGTGGATTACTTTGCTCATCTTGGGCTCGTGGTTTTTTCTCTTATTCAGAAGTATTTTCCACGTTAAAATCTTTGTGTTCTTGTTGTACTTTTTGTTGATTACCGTATCTCGGTACTACGTTATTATTCCGTTGTTATTACTATAAATATTATTTCTATGGGGGGTTATTCCCAACAAAACATACCTTTGGAGAATTATCCTTGTCAGTTGTGACAGCCCGTATGCCCTTATAAATGGGAAAATAAACTCGATTTAGATTTAAAAGAGAGAGAATATTAGAATTCAACTTTCTTCATACAAATTATTTAGAAATATGTAATTAATTACCTCATAGATATCTCCAGATATGATTGTTCTTAATATGTTTATTGTAAGTCTGAATTCTTGCTTGAGGCATTCAGACAACGTTAGCAATAACAACCACAACAAGAACTACTAAAATGTTCAATAACAAAATAAAAATATAATCATCATTCAAAACTAGTCTCAACTAAATATTGACAAGTTCAATACTTTGTTTAGCAATACACACCATTCAATGAGTTTTTTATCTAGCATCATCTCCATCTTCATTCCTAGAACCTGCAACATAGCAATTATATTAAATAAACAAGAGTAGCTATTCCCTTCCCTTAGTGGATGACTAACGGCCTCTAACTGTTCATAAAAATATTTTACCTCTTCGTTAGGAGGTTGTTCAACACTTTCATGGGTTTCAAAATCGAAGTGCATCCCAAAAGCATCCGCAACCATTTCATGGTATCTAGGATGTTGAACGTTATTCTCCACCGACCTACTACTTTCACCAACAACTACATTATGAAATACACCATCACTACCATCAATCTCTCCATGACTAGTCCACACAAAATAATTATCCATAAATCCTTTTTTATAAAGATGAGCCTTAACATCCTCCGATCCAAAAAATTACAAACACTTGCACTTCACACAAGGACACCTAATCAACCCTCCAATCCGAAACAGTTCAAGTGACATTGCATGCGTAATAAATTCCTTAACCCCTTCTATAAATTACTTCCTTAAAAACCGATGATTAGGATAATTCCTATTATACATCCAACTACGATATTCCATCTACATAAAGAACGAATAAATTATATTAATCATAGTTCAAATTAATTTATAGAATTAAGTTACATAATAAACTTTAGTTACAATATAATTAATTTAAATAATTTGAGTGCTTATTAATTTAAAAGTTCATATATATCCCTAAAATAATAATAATCTTCTAACATAGATAATGCTATCATAAGCATAATCAATAGGGGTAAACCCTAAATCTAATTAATCATTAACTAAACTCTAGTTTATACAATAGAAGAATTAAAATTACTTAAATTAAAAAATGTAGATAACTAACCTTGAAAGAGAAGAGAGGGAGTTTGATTTTGGGTGCTAAAAGCAGTGGGTGGTGGTGGCGGAGGAAGCAGTGGTGGC